CAAACTCATTAACTCCACCCCAACCCACCCACTTACCCCAATGTGCTGGAAGAGCCAGGAGCGCATGACATTGGTGGCCTGCTTCGGAAGGACCCCCCGCTTGTTCTTGGACGTACCATCATCATGGTTAAAAAAGCTAAGGTCTTGGTTCAGCTGGAGCTGGAGCTAAGGAAGTTTGATGTAGATGATCATGTGGGGAATCACTCATATGCTGAGCCTGGCTCACAACATCACTATGCCGACAGACATTTACCTGTGTGTTCTGGATGCGTATCGTCCCTGGTGAGATAGTCTGTGTCACAACCTGTCCTTGGGGTGTAACCACGGTGACGGGCTGGTACACAGTGCCACCTGGAGCACACATGGTGGGTGAGTACAGATGTGTACATATATAAATAATAATAACACTCAGCTACTTTTGTTACATTATAATGAGAAAAACACTGGAATAAAGCCAGGCTGGTCCAAAGCATTGTCCTTGTAGGTATGCAGGTTCTTTATTAACCTTAAAAGAACTAGCAAAAGAATGAAAGGAATCAGGATTACGATGATCCTGAATATGGGAAACTGGGGATGCTGCAATTTCTCATTCAGATTCAGATGTGTTTCTCACAGACTACATTAGATTCAATGATTAGAAATTGCAATACAAGTTAGTAAAATGTTCAATTTCTCTGATTATTTGTGACATTAAAAAAGCAGAATACTAAGTAACAATTACTGATTAATTTAGTGTTCAGTGTAACAATAAGCGAGCACTATTCTTCATTTAGCTCTGATGAGGGTAATAAACAGAGAACAGCTGGAATGTAAACCACTATACATGTCAGCAGTTCTGATAGGACAACAGCTGAGAACAGGCCTAAAGGAAGGGAAAATATGTGATAAACTAAAATACTAAAACTGCAAAAGGCCAGGCTGTTTACATCTGCTCAGAGCAGACGGTATTGCCTGCGTCCCACGGAGACACGCATACCTGCCACCATCTGTGTAGGGTTGACGGTCGCCACGGTGACGTTGCCCTGCTGCAGGGCTGATGCTGGCACAACAATCCCTTGGGGGCTGAGGGTCCCTGTGAACGAGCTGGAAGTCTGGGGGAGACACACACACACACCACATAGGGACAGATGTCTAAGGGCGCTTTTCCACTGCATCAAGTGCCATACTTTTGGTACTTTCGCTTTTCCATTGACTACCAGTCAAGTACCAGTAACAAAAGTGCTAAACCAACTGGGGTACTTCTTTGGTACTTCAGTACTTTAGGGTGAGATTTGAAATGTTTTCTTAGTCGATTGGTTATGCAAATAGCTTGTCTGCCTCTAAACACAAAACCTTGAAAACAGCTGCGAACTCAGAAAACAATGATAAAGCAAACAAAAAAATACAGGAATCCGGTTGGAAGAACAGATACAACAATAAGATCAGGATGACAAGAAATTTTTAAAAATATTTTGCTTAATATACTAGGAAAGTATAGTATTTTAATATACAGTGGAGTCAATTTATAGTGATCACGTCTGTCTTGGTGAAATTGATCACTATAAGCGGATGATCATTATAACTGATTTTTTTCCTTTTTCTTTATTCCTCAGGCAGATTACCACCTAATTAACATTTATATATTTATTGCATGAATATAGTATAATAGAATGGACAGCGTCGCTATTTATAGATTTTTATTGACTATTTTAAAATACAGTACAGCTGTTTCAAACACTTTTCAAATTACAGTACTGTACTAATTAAATTACTGAACTATATATAATTCAAGTATGCAATAATACTGTAATGCAGGTGGCATCTGCATGTCCCAGCATGTGTATAGAGCCCCTGTTTGTATTTGTTAGTGTAGATACTTGTGGTGCTGAGTATGCGGTTGTCGCGTGTGCCTCTAACGGTGGTTGTACTCGGTTCTTGCCTGATCCTTGTGTGTCTTATACATTGTGCAATTACCCGCTGTGTGTGTGCCTTGGTGTAACTCCCCCGTGTTTCCCTGTCATTCATAGCTTTTGTGTTATTGTTGCTTGTTGTGGGGTCCCTTTAAGGAGTAAAATGAAGAACAATTTAGTGTCAGGCCACCTCCCAGCGTTTTCATTCACCGCTGCCACGATTCCTTGGTCTGCTCGGGGCTTCAATACAGTACAATATTGTACATAAAATTGTTATTGTAGTTTCACCGTTGCATCTCGGTGGCTCGTTTTTGGTGGTTTATCATAAGCTTCAATGGGCCTATATTTGTCAGTGAGAGAAAATGACTTTCTTTTTCTGGGCATGCAGCATTAGACTCAGGTAGCTAGGCAGAAGTAGACAGGTTACCGCAAGGTAAAGTCGGCTTATCAATGTAATGTAAAAAAAAAAAAAAGAAGAATTAGCGTAGTTTTAATTTTTTCTGTATGCTCTCATGTATGAAAAGACCCAAAATGAAGACTATAAGTGGACTACTTGATTGCTACAAGCAAATTATTTAAACAGTATTTGTACAGGATTGATTCTGTCCCAAGCTTTTTGATCCATATAAGCGGTTGATCAACATAGGCATGATCACTTTAAGCAGGTTTCACTGTACTTGGACATTACACATATATCGTACTGTCCTAGCTGTGACATTGTTGTAAATATAGCAATGTGATTTTGTTGCAATAAATATTGGGGTATTTATAAAAAAAAAAGGAATTCATAATTTTCTCTTTGAGTGATTTAAACAGCAAGGATGAAAATGATTATCATCATCTCGGAGAACACATGCAGCGTTCAAAATACCAAAAGTATGGTCCCTGGTGCGGTAGAAAAGTGCTCTAAATGAAGACTGAACAGCAGCTAAAAATACCAATTATAAAGGAAGAGAAACCCCACCCCCAACCCCCCCGGGTTCTCCTAGTCTCCACCTGTGTCTGTACGGGCGAGTAGGGGCTGCCTGGGTCCCCGCTCAGCAGAGTCTCACTGTTCATCTTGGTCTTCAGGCAGGCAATGTAGCGGCTGCAGAAGTCCTTGCACAAGTCGCTCACCTTCTCCAGCTCCAGCAAGTGTATACGCAGCACCTGGATGGCCTTTACCATCTATAGGCAGGAGGACGGAAAGCTGTAAAGTTTCCAAACATTCCAAACAAAACTGCTTGCCGAAACAGAGAGAGAGAGATTATTATGATATATTATGTGACTCTGTCCTGGACAGTGATGTCCTTAACCTTACAAACATCAGCAAATGTGACCTGGAATTCATGCATCCAAATGTAATTTATCATTCCATTTAATCGTAAGAGGCTTCAACAGACTGTAAAATTTGCACACCAATGGCAGTGATTCCAGCAGTTAGCAGTCATATCAGCAGTGATATAGTTAAGCTCTAAGAAGAGTGATGATTGTAGTACAGAAGGTAACAATAACATCTGCAGTGATTTCAGCAGTAATATAAACAATGATAAAAGATGCCATAACATTAACTCCAGAAGTAAAACCATAGATGATACAAGCAAGGAGGCCATCAATATTAATTATTCTTTTATCATAGTTCATAATATTAACAGCAAAGATAAATTCTACCATAAAACTACAAAAGATGTTATAGTGATGACAACGATAGTCCCGGACAGCCTTGTCACTCCCCCATCTAAACCCTACTCCTCCCACACCCCACAGCTGCCAAAATTTAGAATTACAGTAAAATCGATTAATAACGGACTTCAAGGGACTTTGCAAAACAGTCCTTTATATCCAAAGTCCGTTATATCCAGAGTTGCTGTATGCCCAGAACACAACTACAGGACTCCATTTACTCATGCCACACCCCAGCAGACACACTTGTGGTATAGATTATTATACTGTACAAGTAGTAATCCAACATTACCTGACCAGATGCGTGACTATTAATAATCCCGACTAAGTATCTGCGCTGGATATCACCGGCACGCCAGGTGCCTTGTAGGCAGAGCCTGCATGTCCGTTATAGCTGAACAAAACTACAGCCAAAAGCGGCCCTGGGGACAAAATTGTTTGTCCGTTATAAGCGAAATTCCATTATATACGAGTCCACTATATCCAATGTTTTTTCTGCATGTTCTTAAAGGTACACGGCCGGGACCAACGGACGGGATTTTACTGTGCTACATAAATCAACTGCAAATATAAAAACCAATAAATGTGTTTTTACCCAAAAGCTCCGAGTCCTAGTTGAGACATGTAGCTCTATAAATACATCTATTCATTTATAGCACATTTTATTTACATGCCAATTCACACAGTTTTTCTCCACCAATTAGGTTAAATGTATTTCTTTGTGTCCATGTCTTAAAATGCAATTTATATTATTTATATTCTTTATGTCTAAATATGTACATTTTATTTATTTCGCATTGGCACTATGACCAACATTTTCTGTGACATAACAGTGAGAACTACAATAGACAAAAGTTTAACTATGTAATTACAATATATAGTCATACAGACATTTCTTTGCTATCACTACTGTATGTAGCACTGCTTCAGTTTTGAAAATTTGATCATTTCCAGTTTGTCGCCCATACAATGTGTCTGTAAAAAATCCATAAAATACTTTTAGAGCTACTGTATTCACAACAGGGTATATACAGAAATCCAGAGGTTAAATTTAACACTTTTTAATACCTTTTTTTAATACTTTCTCAATATTTTTTAAAACCCGCACGGCATTGAGTTGCAACCGTTTTTAAACAAGTTTCAAACTGATTTAAAGATTTATAATGTTACACAATTTTGGCCTGTACAACAGAATTTAAATAGGGAACATGGGTCAACAGAATAAATTTAGTGACTGTGATTTTGAAAACATCTTCTTCAGTCACAAGTCCATATCTTTATCCACTAGGCTATTCATGGCAAGTGCCTTAATTGTTTGGCTTTTTCTTCAATGAGTTTGTCGATTTGCTCCAGTTGACCAACTGCTCTCATCCATGCATTCCTGATTTATGAGTTGTGCATCGCATATGCGAAAAGAGAGCGCTGACTGTCATTATCATAAATTTATCACGCTGATTTAAACTCTTGGTGTGTAAACCTTGTAGTTGCCTGCAGGCATCTTACGTTAGCAAGATAAGTTTGGTGATAATTAATGCAGCTAGCGAATTACTTACATAAATACCTACTACTTGGGGTTGCAATAAGTTATCGTATTGACCAGTAAACGACAAGAAACATAAATAACACAATCAACAAAAATCTGCTGCCAAGTCAATCAGTACTTGTACTGATCGCTTGCTCCATTTTGATCGCGGTTCCCGAAGAGAACTATCAGCAATCTATGGCTCATCCTGCTAGTCCCGGATGTAGAGGGTTGAATTTCGGATCGTATTTTAAACCACTGAAATTGTGGCAGCGTATTTGAAACAGCGAAAATAACGGGACTGAATATTGTAAAGCAGAAATAAGAGGACTGAATGTTACTGCTTGAATAATAAATATGCGAATAAAACACATGGAATATTTTCAACTGAATTTGTTCTTTTGAAATTTATTTTGAGGCGAAATTAAATGAACTGAATTCATGTGGTTGAATTATAAACATGCACTTTAAAATACGTATCTTTTGGAACTGAATTTTGGAAGCCGAATATTTTTGTACTGAATATGTAAGCAATGAAATTACGATTGAAATGTTTTCAGTTGAAATGTTCAATGTTTAAATGTATGCACATATTAAATTACAGTCCCCAAAAATTCAAAGCGTCATTAATGCATTAATGCGTTTTTATTCGATAAGTGTAATTCAACGTGTTTTTTTCCATCAACGACTTTTGTCATTAGTCCTTCCATTCCATAGTCCTTAAACGCTGGGTCCTCTAACCACTTACGTGCAAATTTGCACTTACCCATGATGACTATTATGACTTAGCTTTTCTGAGTGTAAGCAGCCAACATGTACTTCAGCGCACAAACTGTTTAAGACGTCGCTCGACCACCGAATATGACGTCAGCATCACAGAAATCATCTATGAATGAAGGAATGAGCTAATCCACATTTAAAATAATTTGTGAGAAATTTAGCAGATAAAGTTTAACACACAAATGGACAATTTGTAGTTTAAAAAAAATCTAAAATTTAAAATTTGCGTGTAATACCTTTTAATACTTTTTAATGGCTTTAATTTTTGCTTATGTGATTTACTACCTTTTAATACTTTTTAAAACCCCGCAGACACCCTGAACAAGTCCAAATGCTGCTTCATTTTTGGCACAATTTGTCTCAAAATGATACCAGACGTAGGTCTTCATCCACATAATATTTTTGCAAAGCCGTAATAAGATCCATCAAATACTCTTTAGAGTTACACATTCACAAGATCAAATGCCAACTGCTTTCACCCCTCCCCTTGTGGCCACTAAGTAGCAATACTTCAGTTTTCGGGTGAGTAGTTTCAAAATTTGATCAGTTCCAGTTCCTCACCCATGTGTCTATAAAGTTTAAAAAAGGTTACCGTTCTATTGTCAAAAGTGTCCTTTACTTTGATAATACTATGCAGCACTAATTCCATATTGGGGTGACCTGTCTCAGAATTTTATCATTTTCAGTTTGTCACCCATATGATGCCTCTACAAAGTTTGAAAAAGGACTGTCAGAAACTATTTGAGTTGTCATCTTAACAAGATTGTAACTGGCAACAGTGGACTGGTCCCAAAAATGTATGCATGCATACGATCAATAATCTCAAGTGTTATACCGGCGAGTGATAAAAACATAAGTGATTATACCAGCCATGAAATAAGGAGAAACAACAGCTGGAGAATGAGCAGAAACATCCATCTTACCAAGTTGTCAAGGTCTGGGTCATCGCTGAAGAAAGCTTTGCCTTCTTTCTCTTGGCTGCGGACAAAGTTCTCGATGTCAACATCGAAGCTGGCAGAGGTGACACACTCTGAGCTCTGGGTGGACTGTTCACACTTCTCAAAGAGGAGGGCTAGCAGTGGGAACAGAGGGTGCCTGGAACATCAGGGAGCGCAAACACACCGTTTAAAATAGAATATTATTAAGTAAGAGTATTTTGCAGCACTATTGAAATTTCAGAGACATACAGCAGTCATAGAAATGTTTAAAACACTCGTCCTTGAGAACAGCTGGGGTGGGGCACCACAATACCCAACAAAAAACATCATATTTCTCAGCTCCTGAAGATTTACATAATACTCTTCACACTTCTATATATGCACATACCAACAAAAACCACAGGGGAAATTTCCACCCCCCAGGGGAGGGAGACAGAGGTACCTGTAAATGGACTCCTTGTCGGCGTCCATAGAGGTCTGCGTCTCCACAGGCGGGGGACTGCCAGTGACCCCGCCACTCACTTCCGGAAACCTCTGGTCCTGACCACTGTCCGTCTGCACAGTGGGTTTCATCTGTGTGAGGGAAAGGGTCAGGGGTGGAGCAAGGCAGAATGTGGCAGAATGGGGGAGGGTCTCAATCCTAACAGTCAACATGATGCTGCTTCCTCTGCCTGGGGTAATGGGAGGCAATATTAGCCCATTTCACTCCCCTCACACACCACTGCTGCCGAGTAGGGTGATCACCTCCCTAACACAGGGCTGGAGGGCCGATGAGTCATTGATAGGCCTCAGGGGTCAGAGGTCAGAGCTAGACACCAAAAAGGGCTTCTCATCATACAAGCTGTAGTATATGAGGGCTTTTGTATCAGCTCCTAATGACTGATAAATTAAACAATATAAAGCAGACAGAAGATCTGCAATAAGCAAAAATAAAATGTTGGATCTTAGCTGCTGCTTAACTGACTTACAATTTTTCAGATATACACTCCTGGGCAAAATAATGGGCCAAACCCAAAACTGCAAAACATTAAGCTTTAAATGGTCTCAACAGCAAATAGCGAGAAGATATTTGTGAAAATTCTGGACAAAAAGAGCTGTGGTAGCTTGAATTTTTTTAACAAACATTTCAACTTTTCATGATTTCATCTTTGCGTACACATTGGTGTGACTTAGCACTTCCCAAGTATTACCTATACATTTACCATAAGCTATCAGGCTGATTACATTCCCTGTATTGCTGGACTAACTGCTGAAAAAAGTATGTGCATTTACCAATTCATTACACTATTGGATAAGTGATGGAACCCAGCTAGATTTGAATCTTCAGTATCTTGGTCTCTCTCTGTCTCTCTCTGTCTGTCTCTCTCTCTCTCTCACACACACACACACACACACACAGTGAAGGTACAGGCCACAAGGCATATGACAGGTCATGTGGTGGGGCAACAATAGATCGATTGACAGGAGAAGCACTGAAAAATACTTTTCAAAGAACTAAAAATATCTGGTTGTTCATGGACCCGATTCTTTAATGAAGGTCATTTTTTACAGACTCAGACATATTCTGGGGGCAGTTATTTGCTATAGCCCCACGTCACTGAAACATTATTTTAATGAGTCATGTGACTCAGAACCACAAAACAGTTTCAGCAATGTAGTAAATGGCTGCTAACTAGTCATAATGAGCATTAACTCTGTGAGACTCAGTGTAAGGCTGATAGATGTTGTAAGATGACTAAATAGTAAAAATCTCAGACACCTTTAGCTAATAGTGAATCAGCAGCTTTCCAGTTTTCATCAGGATGTTACTGGAGAAAAAAAACACAAGGACCTTCTGGTGCTGATGTGTGTAATAGTGGGGGGGACCTGGGGCCTTGAACCAGCAACAGTTTCACTCCTTTTTAAAGGCCGGTAATGGCTTCTCTGTGACCTTTCCAGAATGAAGCTTGAGACCAGTGCTCAAAGGGACCAATGACTTTTGGTGGGGCTCCAGAAAAATCCTGATAAATTAGCATGGGAAAAAATATTCTTTCTTATTGGGGGGTGGGGGGTCCCAGATCCATGCAGTCCCCCCTCATTGGGGACTAATGAGAGATACTCCCTTGGGGGATTAAAAAGTTTGTCCTCAAACGGTAGTGTTAGCCATACCTCCTGGTACTCCTCCATGGACACCGACTGAGCTGCCATCGCTGTTACTGCAGGCACAGTGGGAGGTGAAACATCATAGGATCGTGGATCGTGGCGAAGCCCCAGATCTGCAAACGTACACATATATATTCCGATAAGCGCTGAATCGCTACCGGACGGAAGCCCTATACTGAGATTTAATTCACACACACATACACATTATATTATATATAGAGAGAGAGCAATGGGGGCAACTTAATTTTGCATCAGCAAAACGAGTGTAATACTTTTGTGCCTAGATTGATAATTATCCAGTGGCCTTGAAATGTGGAGCCTATAGTATAAACATAAAACACTAAATATTAATAATGGTGGCAGCACAGCGTGCGCCGTAGCGGCGATCAGCGGAGCCTCGATGGCTGTCCGCCTGCGAGCCCGACTCGTAGGCTACGCACCCGGCTCACGGTCCTTATACCGCGGCGCCAAAGCGGCTGTACAATATTTGTAATTATCTTTATTAAAAATATCATTTGTATATATTCAGAAAGCATTTCCCGTGTCCATGCTGCAATACTAAAACGACTCAGTCCCGTTACAAGTAGATTCCTATTTTATGCGGGTCAACACAAAAGACTGTAGGGCTCTTTAGAGGGTGTCGTGCCTTTCAATGTTATGAAACTTATTTCCTTTTTTAGGATGCCGCATCGTTGTAAGTAAATCAGTCGGGGGTCTGTTTAGTAAGAGTACAGTTAATACGGTAGGGACGGGGGCGGTAACCATGCCACAGTGACCTGCGGCAGAGAGAACGACGTGACACACAAAATGGACACCAGCTGGTGGACCACGCGTGTCTGAATGCTATATTCGTGGGGAGATGGAGCCCGCTTTCTGTCAGTATGCGATGAAGCCCGGGACGCGATTACACGCCCACCACTTCGGGCCTGCTGCAGCCCCCCCGTTAGCTTAGCAAGTTAGCCACGGGTGCTAACATTCTTGGCAAATATCCGAAGCAGTAAATGGTGAAGCGGCGCACTCTTATTTACGACAGGACTCCTCATGCTAGATGGCGCAAACGCTTACAAAACAAAACGGAAAAAAACGCCTGGCTTGCAATAGCGCCAGGAAGGCGCAGGTTTCCCGCACTGCACGAAAATGCCAGTTTCTCAGGCACTGGCGTGCACGCTGGAGACCCTAACTGGTGTACTTCGCTAGCCAGCTAACGGTATCCGCCGAGCGTCTGACGAGTCCTGCGGACAACGAGCCGCCATGTTTCCCTCCTAAAGCGGCTGTATGCTCCGTGAGCAACCAGAGTCGTCGCTGTAAAACGCCGCGTCTCCCTGCACACCGCTGCACCCTGTTAAAAAATACGTATCATTCAAAGATATCGTGGTTCAAGATTCCTGCACTATTGTTATTTTGATATATTTAACCGTCTCTGTCCCTTTAATATTAACAAAAACCTGCCCACTCCAGTCTATCAATCAAGCCGGGGACAGCTGCCTATCCCTCCCCTTGTGCCATTCGCGCTTGAAGCGGACAAGGGGGGGAAATAAACTGGGCCCTACTTCCAGTTCTCCTCCTCGCTTATCCAGAAATTTCTACTCCCCAAAATGCCGACATATTTTTTTCCCACATGGAAGGGTTTTTTCGGTCCCCGCCCGGCTAACCGCCCCTTTCCCTAACCCCCACTAGCCACTCTGGCCAGGTCCCTGGTCTCGCCCGCGGCATTTTAGCGCCTTGCTTAGATTGTTTGATTGATAGGGAACGGAAAAAGAAGATTTTGAGTGACAGCTTACCTGAGTGCCAATCTTCGTCACACTGACAAGCAGTTGCAGCAATCGGGACTCGCAGTTGTCGCGTTGCGTCATCGCGTAACGACACGCAGAGTCGGAGGCTCATGAATATTCATGACATAGGAGGAGACACGACGACTGATGTTTCTTGTTCTCGCCCCCCGGGACAGAAGCAGAAAATGCGGCGCAGCGTTATGGGTGAGAGGAGGCTTGCTTTGGCTCTAGGAGTCGCAAATGTAATCGACAATGTATCCTTAGTCTTCATAGAATGCAAAATCAATTAAAGCAGCAATGATCGAAGTCTCTTAATTTTCTTTCATACTTTCGATTTATGCAGTACAGCTATAATTATCTGGATTTACAGAACATAAACTATATGCGTCATACTTCTTATTTTAGGGATTAATTAAGTAGGTATTATTAAGAGCAATTATTAGGGATCATTAAATAACAAAAAAAAACAAAATTGCACGGTCAGGTGTTTGTATGCTAGGTTTACATAAACGGAATTGTATTTTTAGTACATATTGACTTCGTCCATCCATTCATCTTCTGAAACCGCTTATCCTATTCAGGGTTGTGGGGAAAGGCAGTACTATCAGGGAGGCTGCGTGCACAAGGCAGGGAATAACCCAGTATGAGGCGCCAACCCATCGCAGGGCACATTCACACTCCATTCACAACTACGGGCAATTTGAGAACTCCAATTAGCCTCAGCATGTTTTTGAAATTTGGAGGGGGGGGGGGGGGGTCCCGGAGTAGCCGTAGGAAACCCCACGACAACACGGGGAGAACTCCACACACTTAGAATAGAACCCTGGTGGAGAGTCAAACCCAGGTCCCAGAGGTATGAAGCAACATTGCTAACCACCACACCACCGTTCCACCCCGTAGCTTGCTTCATGTGCATTTAAAATTCTGAAAATTAATGCACAATCAAACTAATCAAAAACCATCGAATGACAAAAGTATCACATGATTGACTCTAGTCAACTTCAACATTGCCTTGAAACCCCTCAGATGGACATTTCAACTGAGATTTCAGAAAATTGCCTGCAAACCCTTCAACACTTTACAACATATATTCCTGTAATTCACTCATAAGACCTTTATGAAACACAGCCACACACTCATTTACTTAAATTATCTTTATTGGTAATTATGATCTTTGAGGAGCCTGAGAGTTACTATAGAGCTCTGTGCATGCACTTGCATGCTGTGGAAATCCCATGCTGCCTCAGTGGCGTGGAGAAGGCCGGCCAGACGAGGGCTGGGGCAGCCGGTGTTTTTCCATTTCCACCTCCATGTCCACAAATGTGTACTGGTGGTAGCTGTGGTGCTGCAGGTTCTTGTAGGTGCTGTTGTCAAAAGGCTCAGGCTCAGGCGGTGAGGGGGCAACTTCTGAGGGAGAGCAAGACAATACAGGGATCATGAGGCTGGTGACCTGGATGGGCGCTGCTCCCAACATCATCATGTTTCTGAAGGTCTCAACCACAGGGAGGGTTCCTGCGTCAGTACACTGTCAACACGGGGTATGGTACTTAAGCAAGACAATCTACAGCTAAATGTTAAGCTTAAACTTCACAGCAGTGAAAAGTACGCCAAGCAGTGCAGAAGTATAGAAGATAATTTGCTTGTTGAGTGCCTGCACTACTATTATCTATTTAAAAGGGCCAAATTACACAAATCAGCAAATAAAAAACCTAGCTACTTATATACAGCAGATAATTACTAGCATAACTGAAAATAACTTAACAGAGGCCTTCATCCAGGGGCCAGCAGACGGCATAACTGAAGGATCAGCCGAAAATCACTATCTGCAACTTGCACTACAGTTTACCTAGTGGTCTGTACAATAATTTTGATGCAGAAATAGTATATTTGTGTATATAAACTGTAAGCTATATAATGGATAGATATTTTAAACAGGTTCTTACAATAAGTAAAACCAAACAGGAGGACACATGGAAAAAACCCCAAAAGTTACCCAAAAAGATCAATTTTGGCAAAACTCTAGGCACCAAAAGGAAATTTCAGGAATCAAATCCAACATAAAATTAAGATAAAAGGTTATTTTTCAGGAAACAGGAATCAGAAATGTGTTACAATCAGTTACAATGTGGTTCCACCTGCTGGTACCTTTGAGGGAAGCCTGATTAATAAGTGACACAATTTCAAAATATCAGGGTCACCTAGACACCACAGGGGGGCCACAAGCCGAAATGTGCATACAATAAGAGCGAACACACTGTATAGTATCCAAAAGGCAATGTTTCTGCAATCTCTTTAATAACTACCAGATCTCTGGCCCTTTAGATGGCAGAAGCAGTGCTTTTGTAAAACCAGGTTATTTAAGTAATACAATGTGTAGGATTTTCCTGCGTTCAAGATTGGCTTAATGTCTCACCAAAAAAATTAAAAAAACAAAAACATTAAGATTAAGGGATAGATCAAACAAATCTCCATTAAACAGATGCATCACTTCCAGTTTTTCACCTACTGTAACACCGTAAGCTGACATACAGAACATCTCCAACAATCCAGTCTCATTAGTGACATATTCAGCCTGAACAAAGATGTAATTTGCAGAAGCCAGTTTTGATCTCTAAAGCTGCCAGAGCCAGTATTCCTGGAGGTAAGAAAAGCATACATAAGCACTAAATCTTAGGTCCAAAATCCAAACTACCCAGACTGTGGTGAAGGAGAAAAATCAATGCATAAGTGCAAGGCAGTGCAGATTAGCATGGAAGACCCAGAGTCTGCAATCGTGATCAGTAGTGCTCCCCAAAATCTAAAGCCCAGCTCATATAAGCTCTAGAAAATTAGCATGATGTAAAAGCAAAATAAAAGATTAAGGTGAGTATTCCGTCAAAGTTACTAAGCAAAGCAGGAGCAACTATGTGAGAGTTTAGATGTTTAGGAACTGCAGCATACTTATAACGGAGAAATAATATGGGTAGATAAATGAAAAGGAGGCCATTCTCTACATGTGCTGCAGGGTCCATAGGGGAAGAAGGTATAAAGGGACATGGCCTGTACCATCAGGTGACTGCAAGGCATCAGTCTCAGCTTCAGGCTTCATCTCCTTTCCTGCAGCTTCAGACAGTACAGAGGCAGGGTCCACCAGCCCTTCAGGGCTAGCAGCTCCTTTGCCCTCTCCTGGGGCGGCTCCTTTGCCCTCTCCTGGGGCGGCTTCAGGGGCAGCTCCTTTGCCCTCTCCTGGGGC